CCCCACCCTTCTGATTGCGGGGTCTGTTAGTTTCCTATCTACCCCTTCCAGCCAGGAGGGGTCCCCTACATCGTTCTCTCACACTTGTCCTCTGGCTTTAGGAAGGGGTTCTAGGTCCGAGAGAGAACACGGATGTTTTGACGCGTATTCCCACCCTGAGCTGTGAGGTCTGGAATTGAGGTTGTCTCCTGCCCAGAAGGCAAGCATTCCCCTCCCCCCGAGACCATGGTTTGCACCTGACTCCTGTCCCCAGCCACAGGTTCCAGAGCTCAGGATGCCACCTGTCTAGGAGGTGCCCAGAGGTCCCCCTCCCTACCAGGAACCCCCAAATCTGCCACCCCCAACGATGGGACAAGAATTCAGGCCACGTGCTCCGAAACACAGGAACTGCGACACCTCTCCTCTTCCCCATAAGGGGGGCCCCGTGGAGGGGCTCAGAATCGAGGACTGTCTCCTCCATGGGACCCCAGCCTCCCATGAGAGGAGCCCAGGATGCAGACAGGGGCAGAGCCATGGCGTTGGGCACTGGAGAGGTCTAGTGCCGGGTCCCATGACTTCCATCCAGGTTTGGGGCTGACAGGGGACGGTCCCACCATGCCCCGCCAGGGTCCCTGTACTCCCTGCCCTGGCTGGGGCCAGTCAGAAGTCTCCCTGAAGTTGGAGACAAGGGAGGGATCCATGTGTGTGCTTAGTAGTGGGTTCTGGGGGCATAGCCGCAGCCCCTGGCCCAAGAGGCGCCCCCTTCCTGAGAACCTATCTGCATCCAGCCTCTGTCCTCCCCCCTGCAGATCCTGCCCCAGAAGCGGCTGCCACTTCCGGGCCTGGGATGCGGCGCTCCGTCCTTGTAAGGAACCCCGGCCACAAAGGCCTGAGGGTGGTCTATGAAGAGCTTGACTCTGACTCAGAGGACCTGGACCCCAACCCCGAAGATCTGGACCCAGTGTCTGAAGACCCAGGGCCTGACCCGGAAGACCTCAACACTGTCTCAGAAGACGCCGACCCCAGCTATGAAGATCTGGAGCCCGTCTCCGAGGATGTGGACCCCGATGCCGACGCTCCGGGCTCCATCTTGGGCAACCGCGATTCTGAACCCCAAGACCCCGACCCCATGTCTTCGAGTTTCGACCTCGATCCTGATGTTATCGGCCCCGTACCCCTGGTTCTTGACCCTAACAGCGACACTCTCAGCCCCGCCGCTCCGGATGTGGACTCCCTTGAGTCCGACCTCACTGCCGCCCCCCAGGTCTTGGCCACCAGCCCCGCGGTGCTGTCCGCCCCTGCCAGCCCGCCCCGGCCCTTCTCCTGCCCCGACTGCGGGCGAGCCTTCCGCCGCAGCTCGGGGCTGAGCCAGCACCGCCGCACCCACAGCGGCGAGAAGCCGTACCGCTGCCCCGACTGCGGCAAGTCGTTCAGCCACGGCGCCACCCTGGCGCAGCACCGCGGCATCCACACGGGGGCCCGGCCGTACCAGTGCGCGGCGTGCGGCAAAGCCTTCGGGTGGCGCTCCACGCTGCTGAAGCACCGCTCCAGCCACAGCGGGGAGAAGCCGCACCACTGCCCGGTGTGCGGCAAGGCCTTCGGGCACGGCTCGCTGCTGGCGCAGCACCTGCGCACGCACGGTGGCCCGCGGCCCCACAAGTGCCCGGTGTGCGCCAAGGGCTTCGGCCAGGGCTCGGCGCTGCTCAAGCACCTGCGCACGCACACGGGCGAGCGGCCCTACCCCTGCCCGCAGTGCGGCAAGGCCTTCGGGCAGAGCTCGGCGCTGCTGCAGCACCAGCGCACGCACACGGCCGAGCGCCCCTACCGCTGTCCCCACTGCGGCAAGGCCTTCGGGCAGAGCTCCAACCTGCAGCACCACCTGCGCATCCACACGGGCGAGCGGCCCTACGCCTGCCCGCACTGCTCCAAGGCCTTCGGCCAGAGCTCGGCGCTGCTGCAGCACCTGCACGTGCACTCGGGCGAGCGGCCCTACCGCTGCCAGCTCTGCGGCAAGGCCTTCGGCCAAGCCTCCAGCCTCACCAAGCACAAGCGGGTGCACGAGGGCGCGGCCGCCGCTGCCGCTGCCGCTGCTGCTGCCGCAGCAGCCGCGGGCCTGGGCCTCGGCCCTGACCTGAGCCCTGCATCCGGGATGAGGCCGGGGCAGGTCTCCCTCCTGGGTCCCCAGGCTGTCTCCGCGCTGGGCTCGGGTCTGGGCCTCAGCCCTGGCTCCAGCTCGGGCAGCCGCCCTGACCCTGGCTCTGTGCTGGGCACTGTCCCCAGTCCCAGCGCCAAGGCCCTCTCTAGCTCCAGATCCTCCCCCAGCCCTAATCCTGCGGAATCGCCTGACCCTAAGCCTGGGCACGATGCCGATCCTGACCTTGTGGCCAGCTCTGACCATGAATCTGACCCCAGCCCTAACCCCGATCCTGTGCCCAGCCCTGGCCCCTGCTCTCCCACCCTTGACGCTACCAGCCCAGCCCTCCCTGCCGGCGAGAGTCCCGGGTGGGTGCAGGAGCAAGGGGCGCTGCTGGGGCCTGATGGCTGAAGGGGGCGCTGGCATCCAAGGGGCCCTGGGGGAGTTGTGTGCTGTGCAGTTAGTAAAATCCTCCCACTGCTTCCCGGCTCTGTGTCCTGGTTCGCCTTTTGCGCTTTCTTCCCCGACGCACAGCCCCTTCATCTGGAGTTGTAACCACGTGGCTGGGGCCAGCCAGAGTCTGGAGCCCAGTGTCCTGGCTTCCTTCTGGGGCCAGGAGCCACACCAGCCAGGCTTCCCAGCCTCCCAGATGAGGTCTCACACTGGTCCATCTGCTCTGCAAACCTACCCCTACCCATTGCCCTTCAAAGCCAATGTAACAGGTGCACCACTGCACAGAAGGAAGCTGCTTGTTCATGCATTCAACAAACAGCTCTTGACTGCAGGGGTCTTCACGCTCACGGAGCTCACAACCTTGGTGGCTCACACCTGTAATCCTAGCGCCCTGGGAGGCTGAAGAGGGAGGATCGCCGGAGGTCAGGAGTTCAAGACCAGCCTGAGCAAGAGCAAGACCCTGTCTCTACCAAAAATAGAAAAGTTAGCCTGGTGTGGTGGCACATGCTTGTAGTCCCAGCTACTCTGGAGACCGAGGCAGGAGGATCGCTTGAGCCCACAAGTTTGAGGTTGCAGTGAGCTGTGATGATGCCACTGTACTCTAACCAGAGTGAGACTCTGTCTCCAAAAAAAAAAAAAAAATAATAAAGACTTCTGATTTAGATGGGGGGACAGCTTTCTCAAGGAAGGATTTTATAATCAGAATGACCACTAATTTAATAATCAGTACTGTTTGCCCACCCTTATGACCTGCTCTTGCATTGTCTCATTTAACTCTCTCAGCAGCCCCATGAGACAGGTACCCTCTGATGGAGTATCCCCATTTTCCAGATGAGGAAACCAGGGCACATGGAGTTTAAAGGACTCTGGAAGGTGTAGAGGTGGCAGTTGGCAGTGTCTAGATTTCTTTTTTATTTTAATTTTTGTTTTTAGAGATGGGACCTTGCTATGCTGTCCAGGCTGGTCTTGAACTCCTATTCTCAAGTGATCCTTTGGCCTCAGCCTCCCAAAATGCTGGAATTACGGGCCGAGCTACCAAACCTGTCCAGCACCTAGATTTAAAACCAAATTGCCCTCCAGAGTGTAGGTTCTTAATCATTATACTCCAGGGCAAGAGTATGCAAAGGCCCTGGGGCCACAGATGGGAGTAGATAGGGTCCAGGCCAGAGATCCCTGACCAATGGAGTTGGGGGATTTGCTTGTCATTTCAGAGCAATGGGAAGCCAAGGGCAGGTTCTGGTAGATGTGAGTTATTCTTTGATGATGCTTCTAGCTGCTGAGTGGAGAACAGTGTGGATAGAAGTGGGATCAGGGAGGAGGTTGCTACAATGTTCCAAGCCAGAAATGTTGGAGGACTCTGGGCTGGGGGCCATAGGGGATAAGTCGTTCTATTTAGCACATAATTAGGAAGTTGGGTTTGCTGTTGGTCCTGATGAGGGGGACAGAAGGACATTCTGGGAGAAAGGAAGAAGGCAGCCTTAGGCCTTAGGGCGCGGTGGCTCATGCCTGTAGTAATCTCAGCACTCTGGGAGGCTGAGGCAGGAGGATCGCTGGAGCTCAGAAGTTCCAGGCCAGCCCGAGCAAGAGTGAGACCCCCGTCTCTACCAAAAATAGAAAAATTAGCCAGTCCTCGTGGCTCTAGCCTGTGGTCCCAGCCACTCGGCAGGCTGAGGCAGGAGAATCGCTTAAGCCCAGGAGTTGGAGGTTCCAGTGAGCTAGGCTGACGCCCGCTGCATTACCCAGGACGACAGAATGAGGCTTTGTCTCAAAAGAAAAATGGCAGCCTTCAGATAGTATGCAGGGTCACGACCAGACACCGCGGAGGGTAAGGGGTCAAGCTCTGGACATCGAAGTCACGAGGCTGGCACCGGACGCGGGGCATGACAGGGAGCCAGGACGGAGCTGGCCAATTGCCAGGCTCAGAGCCAGCCCATCCACCCCGCAAACCCAGAGCCCGTCGGCGCTAGGACCTCGCGACCGCCTTCGACTCGCAGGGCGCCGGCGGAGGCACGCATGCGCACTGCTCCAGCAAAGGGGGAGGGTGCTGGTCGTCGTGGCCCGGGGGGCGGGGCCGGATCCGGTCACGTGGGGCCCAGGGTTTCCCTGGTCACGTGACCGCAGCCCAGATCAGCTGACGCGGGTGGGTTTGAAGCGGCGCCGCGAGGGAGCGAGGCCGCGGTGACAGCGGCCGGGCGCTCCGACCCGGGCTGCCCCGCCGCGCCCGCCGGCGTCCTGCGCTCCGCGGCCCAGCATGGCAGCCCCGGCGGGCCGGCGCGGCTCAGGTGAGGGCGCGGGCGGCGCCGCGGGTCCCCGGCCGCAGGCGGCGGGCTGGCGGGCGGGCGGCCAGCTTCCCCGACCCGGGGCGGCGGGGCTCCCCGTCTCCCTCCTCTGCACTTCGGGGCTGACCTCTGAGCCCCCGGGTGGTGGGGATACGCGCAGACGGCTTCTAGGACCTGGGCGGCGGTGGGCACCTGGTTCTCCGACCTCAGGTGGCGGGACACCCGTCATCCCCCTTCCCCAACCCAGGCTCTGCTCAGAGTCCTACACTTGGGCAGCGAGCGGCCGCCCGTCTCTCCCAGGATCTCCCCTGGGAGCCTGGGTTCCGAGTGCACAACTTTGCAGGAGCCCAGACAGCGGGCGGCAGCATTTCCAGCCCGCACGTGAGGCTCCCAGGTTTCCCTTCCCGGTTCCGGGAGGCAAAGGCTCAGGGAATAACGTCAGGCGAAGAGCTGCAGGCACTAGATTTCCTTCGGGCAGATAACTCAATTTCAGATCTCCAAACCCATGCTAGCTCCGCCTTGTTAAACGCAAGCTTCCAGCCCCTGCGGATGTCACCTCTCACTGGAGAGGCTAGAGGAAGACCCCTGGTGTTGGCTTCCCCTTCTGGAGGTAGCTGGGGACACCTACCCGATAGGCGCACCCGCCGGTAGGGTCTGGGCTGTGTTAGCTGTGATCCCAGTTTGGGAGGCAGAGCCCGCCCTCCGGCTTCTCTTGGGACTGACTCGTAAACAGCCACAGCGTCCAAGTTGCAAAGGGAGGGGCCCGCTCTGCAGTGGAGGTTCTGACAGCGTCCAGTTTTTCTGGCAGCTTTGCCAGGCAGGGGGCCGGGCCCTGGAAAGTCGCCCGGCTCTCCTAGGGGTGTGTGTGTCAGGGACAGTCCTTGGGCTGCCACGACTGGCTGTGACTCTAGCAGTCGGGGAAACCGTGGATCTTCCTCTTAGGCTTGACGGGAGAAACAGTGATTGGAGCAGCTTCTTTTTGCTGAAGAATTATTGAGGTCTTCCCCTGCTTTCTCTCGGAATTCTCAGAGCAGCCTCAGGGGCTCAGCCTAGGGGTGGGTAGACTTTTTGATTTCTACTTTTCAGATGAGGAGACGGAGGCATCTGTGTCACCCCGCTGGGAAGTGGCAGGTCTGGGATTTGATCCTAGGGCTGTGTGATTGCCTGAAGCTGGTAGCCTTCTGAAAGATAAATTGAGTCTTCAGTAATTGTGTTCCGTTATTAGTACTGTTACTGGTCACCCCTAGCCTGTGGCTAGCGAGGGGGTCAACTGATGGGCGAAGCTGTGATGAGTGCAAGGTCATACATGGGGTCTTTGTCCAGAAAAAAACTGGAATGTGGGCTGAGCTCTGTGCTCTTGCCTGGAGGTAAGAATTGGGCCAAGCCCGGGAGCCTTGAATGCCCTGTGACAAGCCAGAGGAAACACTTCATTATCTCCCCACTAATCAACAACAGGACCGTGGATGGAATGTTCTGGTAGTCACTGTGTACCAGCCCCTGTGATAAATGCTTCGTAAACATCCAATCCTCAACTTTCCCATGGGAGATGATTATTGCCCATTTTGCAGATGAGGAAACTGAGGCTCAGGGAGGCCGCGTGTCCTGTCCAGGCCAGGGAGCAGCAGAGGCCGGAATCAGCTGAGGCCCTTTTGCCTCTCAAACCCAGCTGTAAAACCTCTGAGCAGTACTGCTGCATGTGTCTATACAGTGTTGCAAATTTTCTGGTTTCCCTTAGACCTCTCAGAGGTCTTCCGTGGCAGGAGCGTGGGGCGGTGGGGAGAGTTCCTGTGCTTCGTCCCCTGTTGCGGGGACCCGGCATGGTCCCCAGCTTCCTCTCCCATTCCTGCAGAGACCGAGCGGCTTCTAACCCCTAACGCTGGATATGGGACCCAGGTGGGGGCTTCACCGGCCCCTCCAACCCCCCCAGAAGAGGAAGACCTCCGTCGTCGCCTCAAGTACTTTTTCATGAGTCCCTGTGACAAGTTTCGGGCCAAGGGCCGCAAACCCTGCAAACTGATGCTGCAGGTGGTGAAGATCCTGGTGGTCACTGTGCAGGTGAGACCAGCCCGGCGGGGGCCCCAGTAGGGTGGTGCGTGTGGCCGCTGTTCTCCTTGAAGGAGACAGTCTTGGAATGGCACCCTGGTTCTGGCTCCTCACAGCAGCATGACAATGCCAATGGCAGTGACCGGTCAGGAAGCCATCTGTGTGTATAGTGTAGCTCCCTGTAGGCTCAGTGGCACCCTTCGAGGTCCTGGCAACTGCTGTTACCCACTTTGTGTAGATGCAGCCACTGAGGCTCAGAGAGACTAAGGGACTTGTCCAAGGTCACACAGCAACTGGGGGAGCTGGGATTCAAACCAGGCAATCCGATGCCATGTTGACCTGAGCCTGGCCTGGGAGTCTCCCTCTCTCATGCCAGGCCCTGTGCTGGGCTATGAATCAGACCCAGCCACCCTCCTAAGTTCTTGCTTTCGATCTCAGGCGGTGACTTTAGGCCTGTTACTGTGACTCTAATTTCCCCTTAGTCACAGGGGCACCGTCATGGTACTCACCCTGCAGGTGTGGCTTTCACACAGAATCCAGAATCCAGTGAGCAGTTAATGATCATTTTTAAAAGTTAGCTTTTTTGAGACAGAATTTCACTCTGTCACCTGGGCTGGAATGCAGTGGCATCATCATAGCTCACCACAACCTCAAACTCCTGGGCTCAGGCGATCCTTCTGCCTCAGCCTTCTGAGTAGCTGGGACTACAAGCATGCGCCACCATGCCTGGCTAATTTTTAAAATTTTTTGTAGAGACGGTCTTGCTATGTTGCCCAGGCTAAATTAACTGCTGCTATGAGATACACAGGACCACACTCTGTGTTGGCTGTCGGGGACATAACGGTGGGTGTGGCGTGGAGCTGATTAATGTCCCTAGGGTCCTGCCTTGCCTCTGACTCCATCCACCTGTGCCCTCAGTGAGGCCCCATCCCCGAAGTGCCAGTCTCCCCTGCCCTCTCTCCAGCTTATCCTGTTCGGGCTCAGCAATCAGCTAGCAGTGACATTCCGAGAGGAAAACACCATCGCCTTCCGACACCTCTTCCTGCTGGGCTACTCAGACGGGGCAGATGACACCTTCGCCGCCTACACGCAGGAGCAGCTCTACCAAGCCATCTTCCACGCCGTGGACCAGGTGCGCTGGGCAGGCACAGGTGGGCACGGGGCAGGGCGTGGGCAGAGCTGATGGCTGTCCCCTGCTCTCCCCACAGTACCTGATGCTGCCGGACGTGTCGCTGGGCCGGTACGCCTACGTCCGGGGCGGGGGTGGCCCTTGGGCCAATGGCTCAGCGCTGGCTCTGTGCCAGCGGTACTACCTCCATGGCCACGTGGACCCAGCCAATGACACCTTTGACATTGACCCAATGGTGGTCACTGGTGAGTGGTCAGGGCGGGGCTTAGCTGTTCAGAGCTTAAAATCACGGGCTGCGACTGTCACCGATCCGTGAGATGGGGCTGTCATGATCATTAATGATTTGATGTCTGCTTAGTTCCGTGCTTGCCGTGCAGAAGGTACCAGGCATTATTTTTTAATATCATTTCATTCACCGAGCATTTGGGGCACCCACGGAGTGCCAGGCCCTGGGGTCTCCGCAGGGAGTGAGACAGACCAGGCCCTGCAATGAGAAAAAAAGGGCAACTGTTTAAGCACAAAGTGGGAAGTGGAGGAGGGCAGAAGGCTGCCGGGGACTCCGGGGAGACCAGCCTGGCCTCCCCCGCCCCCTGAGGCCCTTCCCTGGCTCCCTGTCCTCAGAGTGCATCCTGGTGGACCCCCCCGAGCGACTCCCCCCACCCCCCAGTGATGATCTCGCCCTCTTGGATGGCAGCTCCAGTTACAAGAACCTCACGCTCAAATTCCACAAGTACTGCCTGCTTGCTCGAGGGAGCCCCCGGGGAGGGGGAGGAGGGCAGGGTGCCAGGCATTGTCACCCCCGGTAGCCACTTCCCCACAGGCAGGGGAAGGGGCCCCGCCGCACTGGCACCTGCTATGTTAGCACTTCCCCTGCCAGCTGCAGAGTCAGCTCAGGCCTGGGGCCCTGGTGCCCCGGGACTGGGAGGGAACCTCCGGAGCCCCCTGCGCCTCACCTGAGCGTCCCCCGTAGGCTGATCAACGTCACCATCAGCTTCCAGCTGAAGACCATCAACCTGCAAAGCCTCATCAACAACGAGATCCCAGACTGCTACACCTTCAGCGTCCTGGTGAGGACCCTCGGGGCTTCCAGGGAGCACTGGCCGAGGGCACGTGTTGGGGGAGCGGCAGGGGAAGCCAGGCTGGCTCAGGACGGGCCATGTGTCACTCGTGTCCGGGGACCTGGAGCTGCCGAGGTTTACTCTGCCCTCTCCTGCCCCCACCAGATCACGTTTGACAATAAAGCGCACAGTGGGCGTGTCCCCATCAGCCTGGAGACCCAGGCCCACATCCAGGAGTGTAAGCACCCCAGTGTCTCCAGGCACGGTGAGCCCCCAAGCCCCGGACTGGGGTCCTGACTCACCCCGAGTTAGCCCTGAGCCCACCGATCAGTTAGAACCAGCCTGGCCGCCCCAGGCTCTGTGCCAGTATTGTCCCTCCCCGCAGGAGACAACAGCTTCCGGCTCCTGTTTGACGTGGTCGTCATCCTCACCTGCTCGCTGTCCTTCCTGCTGTGCGCGCGCTCGCTGCTGCGCGGCTTCCTGCTGCAGAACGTGAGGGCCCAGTGTCCCCTGTGCCACCCGTGCCCGCCGCGCCCGGCTCTGGGCTGACAGAGACCGGGGGTTTCGAGGGTCCCGTGCCCGCGCAGGCCCTCGTCTCTCTTTCCCCCTGCAGGAGTTCGTGGGGTTCATGTGGCAGCACCGGGGGCGGGTGATCAGCCTGTGGGAGCGGCTGGAATTCGTCAACGGCTGGTACATCCTGCTGGTCACCAGCGATGTGCTCACCATCTCGGGCACCATCATGAAGATTGGCATCGAGGCCAAGGTGGGTCCCGCCCACGCCCCGCCCTGGCCCCTCTGCCCCTCCCGCGTGGGGCCTTGTGCTCCCCGCCAGGTGGGGTGACGATGCTCCCGTCCCCAGAACCTGGCGAGCTACGACGTGTGCAGCATCCTCCTGGGCACCTCGACGCTGCTCGTGTGGGTCGGCGTCATCCGCTACCTGACCTTCTTCCACAAGTACAACGTGAGTCTCACGCACGCACGCAGGCGGGGCCTGGACCGGGATGCGTCAGGGCCTCCACGTGCCGCCCCGTGTCCCCCCCCAAAACAAATCCGCACACACAGCACTCACCAGCCACCGCCGACAGCCTGTTGCAGGCCTCTTCCTCGTACCTGCCCACCAGACAGACCTGTCACTGCACCCGGGCAGGGCCACGAGAGCCTTCCCGCTTGCACCCACCCAGCCAAGTCCAGCCATGGGGTGTCTCCAAAGCCCCTGGGGACAGCCCCGCCCCTTTGGAGCTTCCAGCAGCTCCCATGGCCACCCCCGCTGTGCCCTCAGCGATGACTTGCCACGCCCTCAGTGTGACCCCCTCTGCCCCGCCACAGATTCTCATTGCCACACTGCGGGTGGCCCTGCCCAGCGTCATGCGCTTCTGCTGCTGTGTGGCCGTCATCTACCTGGGCTACTGCTTCTGTGGCTGGATCGTGTTGGGGCCCTATCACGTGAAGGTAGGGGCCACCAGGGAGGGTCCCTGGCTCCCCAAGCCGTCTGATCCCTGGGTCTCTCCAGATCTGATCACACTGAGTCAGACCCACCTCAACCCCTGGGGCCTGACCAGCCCATCTGGAGCAGTTTTGCCATCTGACCCTGACATTGACCCTGTGACTTTGTCAATTTTTTTTTTTTTTTTTTTTTTTTTTGAGACAGAGTCTTGCTTTGTTGCCCAGGCTAGAGTGAGTGCTGTGGCGTCAGCCTCACTCACAGCAACCTCAAACTCCTGGGCTCAAGCAATCCTCCTGCCTCAGCCTCCCGAGTAGCTGGGACTACAGGCACGTGCCACCATGCCCGGCTAATTTTTTCTCTATATATTAGTTGGCCAATTAATTTCTTTCTATTTATAGTAGAGACGGGGCCTCACTCTTGCTCAGGCTGGTTTCAAACTCCTTACCTTGAGCAATCCGCCCACCTCGGCCTCCCAGAGTGCTAGGATTACAGGCATGAGTGACTTTGTCATTGACGTCATGACTCTTAGGTGACCTATCGTGACCTATCGCTGGTACTTTAACACTGTCTACTTTAACCCTTGGCAACCCTGACATTGACCCTATGAACTTGTTATTGACACAGTGACCTCTAGATGACCCCCTGGTGACTTGTTGGTACTCTGTGCACTGTCCCCTTTGGCCTTTGGTGACCCTGACATTGACCTTGTGACTTTATATCATTATCACAGTTGCTGATGGCCCTCTCTTGACCTGAGTTACTCTATCTACGGCTCTATCTCCCTAGACCTATAGGTCTGCCCTGTGACCTTGTTGTTGACCCTGGCACCTCACCATTGCCATGGTGACCCTCAGCTGGCCCCATCATGGCTGCTGACCTCCAGGGGCCCTGCCCTGGCCACAGTCCCCGGCCGTGCCCACAGCTGCCTCTGACCCCTCTGCCCCGCCGCAGTTCCGCTCGCTGTCCATGGTGTCGGAGTGCCTGTTCTCGCTCATCAACGGGGACGACATGTTCGTGACATTCGCGGCGATGCAGGCCCAGCAGGGCCGCAGCAGCCTGGTCTGGCTCTTCTCCCAGCTCTACCTCTACTCCTTCATCAGCCTCTTCATCTACATGGTGCTCAGCCTGTTCATCGCGCTCATCACCGGCGCCTACGACACCATCAAGGTCAGCCGCGTGGGGCCGGGCCATGCGCCCCTCCTCCCTGTCTCCACGGAGCTCCCACACGCGTGCACGCATGACCCCGAGCTCGGGCTCCAGGTCCCTTGGCATCAGCCACGAAGGGGTCTTGGGGACACCTACAGCAGGGTGAGCCTGGGAGACCCAGGGAGAGAATAGGGGAGACCCTGCAAAGCCAAAAAGAGGGTGACCTGGAACAGTAGATTTCCTGCACCCTGCAGGGCTCAGGGGAGAGAAAGGAGACAGAGTGGGATGTGGGGGTCGCAGGGAGACAGGACTCTTTCAGCAAACAAAATCCAGGACCAGGCTCTGTGCTGGGCTCTGGGCATCCGGGGAAATGGGGTGTACATGGTCTGTCCAAAGCCAGCGGGCAAGATGGATGATACAGGAATGGACACGTCATGACCAATGCCGACTGGTGAGAGGTATGAAGGAAGAGTGGAAGGTTACAGAGGGACCCCTGCTTTAGACTGGTATTAGGGTGGCTCCAGGAAAGTTTCTGGAATGTTCTGTCCACTACTAAATTCTAGACATGTGACTATTTACATTTTGATTTTAATTCAGATGAGATATACTATTTTTTTTTTGAGACAGAGTCTCACTTTGTCACCCAAGCTAGAGTGAGTGCCGTGGCATCAGCCTAGCTCACAGCAACCTCAAACTCCTGGGCTCAAGGAATCCTCCTGCCTCAGCCTCCCGAGTAGCTGGGACTACAGGCATGCGCCACCATGCCCGGCTAATTTTATATATATATATATTAGCTGGCCAATTAATTTCTTTCTATTTATAGTAGAGACGGGGTCTCGCTCTTGCTCAGGGTGGTTTCGAACTCCTAACCTCGAGCAATCCGCCCGCCTCGGCCTCCCAGAGTGCTAGGATTACAGGCGTGAGCCTCCGTGCCCAGCCGATGAGATATACTTACAAATTCAGTTCCTAACTTGCACCATCCACTTATCAGGGGCACGAAAGCCAGTGTGGCTAGTGGTTACCCCATTGGACAGCAGAGAGTTCTAGATTGAAGAGATGGGAGCCCAAGGGAAGGAGCAGCCAAGGCAAAGTCCTAGTAGCTGGAAAGGACTTGGAGAAAAGATGGTGGCTCCTTGAGGTTGAGAGGAGAGGCTCTGCTGGAAGGCTCTTCTGCATCCTATGTCCCTGGCAGATGTGTGCGCCCCCTTTCCCCATGAGTGGATTCGAGCATTGCCACAGACATGTTCCTGTTACTCAGTCCCTCAGAGCCACCTCGGGTCTTGCTCTAGCACTTAGGTATCACACACACGCAGCAGCTTAGGTCCGGCTGCCACAGCTGTCAAGGTGCACCCAGCTCGTGTCAGGCCCGGATATAGGTGCTGAGGGCACCAGGCTGATGCAGATGCAGCATGTGTCCATGCTCCTGGGTCAGGGAGGGTCTCCCTGTGGAAGCAAACCAAGAGGAACAGCAAGTGCAAAGGCCCAGGGGTGGAATCCTCCCCTGCCGTCTGTCATCAGAAGAACAGCGGAGATATCCAGGTGGCTGGAGGGGAGGGCAGACCGCAAGGCCCTTGGAGGTGGGGGCTGCTCTCAGGGCAGGCCTGCTGGCATGTCTCCCCCAGCACCCGGACGGCTCAGGCGCCGAGAAGAGCGAGCTCCAGGCCTACATCGCACAGTGCCAGGACAGCCCCACCTCGGGCAAGTTCCGCAGGGGGAGCGGCTCGGCCTGCAGCCTCCTCTGCTGCTGTGGCAGGTTCGAGTCCAAGTCTGGGGTCTGTTCCAGGATGGAGGGTGGGGGATGGGGAAAGAGTGCGGGCCAGAGAGAACTGATGCCCCTGTTCCTTGCCTCTCTCCTCCAGGGACACCTTGGAAGAGCATTCGCTGCTGGTGAACTGACTCCACCACGACTGCCACTGGACATTAACCCCCAGACTGCTGGGACCCCTGCTTATTTATTTTTAGGGTTTGCATTACAGGATTGGCTCCCTGCCATGCCCTGGGGAGGGCCTAGGCCAGTCGGGTCGGACCCTTGGGGACCGGGTAGGGGGACAGGGATGGGGTGGGTGTTAAATAAAAGGGAAAATACACGTGTGGTTCTCATTTCTAGCGGGAGGGGCCGTCCTTGCGCCTACAGGGCTGTGACCCCTTTAAGGTGCTGCCACACTCCGCATGGCAGGCTCCGCGCGACCTTCTCAGCATGGCGGGGGGCGGGGCTGCGGCGCGCCCTGCAGTGAATAATTTAAAGGGGCCGCTCCCGCGGAGCCGGCGGAAAGCTAGTGGTGTTGGCGCAGAGTGGACCCCGGCTGCAGCCTCTGGGTGAGTCTGGGTTTCTGTAAGCCCCGCAGGGGCGTGGCTTTGGGGATCGTTAGCGAGCCTCGGTTTTCCCACGATCTGTCCTACACAGATTCCCCGTAACTCTTGATTTTCTGATGCTCCCATCCCCCCAGTCCTGGCAGGTGTTTCTGCACCGGTAGCCAGGTGCGCCCTGGGGTGGAAGGGGACCGGTCACCCAGGAATTCAAGTAACGTCTCAATAGCCAGTGATTGCCCCACCTCCGAATTTCCATCAGTAGTCTAGCGGCGTCAGAAACATCTTCATCTTCCCAGAAAAGTGCCAGTAATATTCCAGCATTCCTCTGTGCCTTTCACGGAGCCCAGACGCCCTCCCCAGGCTGGCTCTTACACTCGGACGCCCCCAGAGATGTGCCCACCCGGCTCCTGGTTTTCCCAACAGTAGTCCTGTATGCCTCGGGATCTCTCAGTAACTTTCCAGTGCCCCCCAGTAATTCCAGCGTCCCTGGTTACGCCTCCCAGCACAGCGCCGCCAGTTCCCCAGAGTCCCAGTGATGCTCTGCACCGTCAGAGACCCCATAATAACTTTACTGTTATGTGATAGTAAATCCTCACCATACCAGTAACACCGTGCGAGTCCACACCACCTCCAGCATCCCCGGACTCCTGCAAGGCGTCGGTATCGCCCCAGGATCCCCCCTCCTTTGGGAGCCCCCGGAAACACTCTTGCGAACCCCGGTTCCCAGGTCTTCCCGTGGGCATGTTGGGTCGGGAGGGGTGGATACCAGCTGTTCCCCCCACCCCCGACCCCTTGGGGTGCAGGCCCCAGTTTTTCACTGCGGAGCGTCCACTCTTCGCAGGGGCTAGGGGGTGCGGCCTAGGGGTCAGTTGGTCAGGATTGATCAATCCCGCGGAGGCCAGAGGCGGAGGAGGGGGCCACCAGCCGGAGGGGCCGTGCCCTGCGGGGGACCTGCCTGCGGGCTGCTCATAGTGGGTGCCAGGTCGGCTACCCTTTGGCCCCAGGGTGGGGCTGGATGGGCGGAACTACGTCCGGTGGACCCTCCGCGTAGGCGAAGGGAGCCAGGCGGGGAGCCGGGGACACATCTCAGCCCCTGGACAGGGCCGGTAGGTCAATTTGCCCCATCCGTCGGTCCCACTGCGACCCTCCAGCCGCTGTCCTGGCAGGTGGAGAAGCTGCCCAGGCCATAGTTCTCCGGGGGCGGGGCTTGCGCTAAGGGGCGGGGCTTGCGCCAGGGGCAGGGCAGGCCCAGATTGACGACTTGCACGGGTTCCTTCCGCTCCTTGATTCCCCAGGACTCCGGGCTGCCAGATCCGCCGCCGGCCTGAAGCAGTCGATGGAGGCCCCGCTGCAGACAGGAATGGTAAGGACTGGGTGGTGCGTCGCCGTGGCGGCGACTACAACTCCCGGCGTGCTCAGCGCGCACCATCGCGGTCTCGCGAGAACAAGGCTGCGTCTGTTTGGGCGGAACTACGTTTCCCGGCGTGCATTGCGGGCCGCCAACCCACAGGGAAAGAGTAGCGCCCCCGGGGAGGGAGCCGCGCTGGCCCATTCTGCAGATGGGGACACCGAGGACCGGGCTGGCTACGAACTCCTCGGGGGCGAAGGTGACGGAGAGGGATGGGGCCAGGGACGTCCCGGCCCCCGGGGAGGGCTCGGCGGGACGGGTGTGCGGTGCACAGCCAGTGCCGTTCGTCCCGCAGGTGCTGGGCGTGATGATCGGGGCCGGAGTGGCGGTGCTGGTCACCGCCGTGGTCATCCTCCTGGTGGTGCGGAGGCTGCGAGTGCCGAGTGAGGATCCGGGGGCCCCTCTCGGGAGGCTGTGGGGTGGGGAGCCGCTGGGGCCCGGGTCTCCACGGCGGCAGCGGTGGGGATTTGCCGCGTGGAGTCTGCGCAGAGCTCGGAGTGCCCCTCTCCCCACCCCACCTCTCCCCAGAAACTCCTGCCCCGGAGGGGCCCCGGTATCGGTTCCGGAAGAGGGACAAAGTGCTTTTCTATGGCCGGAAGATTATGCGGAAGGTGAGCCCAGGACCTCCTGAGGTCCGCGCTGAGCACAGAGAGGCCCTGCCCCTTTCCTATTTACACTTCGAAGTGTACACCACTGCCCCCTCCTTGATGAAGGGGCCCTGAACCTGGTCTCCTCCCACCCCAGGGTCTGAACTGCCAATTGACCCTTTCCCTCTTTAATTCTCCCAGGTGTCACAATCCACTTCCTCCCTGGTGGATGCCTCTGTCTGCACCACTTCTCGGCCGCGCATGAAGAAGAAACTTAAGATGCTCAACATTGCCAAGAAGTAAGGCTGAGCTGGGGTTTCCTGGCGCTGGGGGCCTTCTCAGGGGCCTTTTGTGGGATCAACCCACACCAAAGTTTGGACCACACAGACTCTCTTAGGAGTCTTCCCACATCAGAGGGACACCTCAGGGCTCTCCTCGGAGGGGCTGTCTCAGAGCTCTTGCACACCGGACAGGCCATCTCTAAGGCCTCTGTCCTCTGAGCCCTATCTCAGGCATGTTTCCCTCTGCAGGGTTATTGCTGAGCTCTTTGTCGCCGCTGTCTGCTACATCAGAAAGCTGCTTCTCTCTGTCACTGACCTTGGAGAGTTCTTCCCACACTAAGGAGGCTGTCTCAGGGGTTTCCCCGAGGGCTGTCTCAAGAACTTCCTTACACTAGAAACACAGGAAGGACATCTGTAGTGTCCCTTTCAGCAGCAAGGGGCTATCTCGGGTCTGTGAGAAGGACTCTCCCAGGGATCTTTGTAGGTTAGGAGCCGGCTCTGGGATCTCCTTGTGTCCTGGGGTCTATCTTAAGGTCTGTCTCAAGGTCATTCCAAGGCACTGTATGATCAACAGTCATGCTGCGTCGGAGCTTTGTGTGACTTGAGGAGAAGGGCTGTCTCAAGCTTTTCCAACATCAGCCGAGGGTCTCTATCTCAGGTTTACCTACATCACAGGGGCTGTCTGCAGTGTCTGAACACCCATGAGGAACTACCCTGTTGTGTTCATGACTGTCAGAGGACTGGCTCAGAACTCCCTGTCCCCTGGGGAAGGGCTAGCCCAAGATTCTCCTGATCAGAAGAGGAATTATATCTGGAGTCTTCTATATCACTGGGTTTAACTCAGGGTCTGCTCATACTGTAAGGGCTGTCTCAGGAATCTTTTGCCAGTGGAGGGGCTGTCTCAGCAGTCACCACGACTTGTCGGGAAGGGGTCACCCTGGTCCATGATTAGCAGAGCAGGTACATTTGGATTCTCTGCATGTAATGAGGGCAATCTCAGGGAACTCTGTGGCCTTAGAGGGCCTGTCCCAAGGTTCTCTGAGACCTAGGAGGAAGGGCTATCTCAGGAATCTTTACAAAGAACAGAAAGGCCCTATATGGGATCTTCTTATGTAACAGAGGCTACCTCCAAGGCACACCCACATTAGGGAAGTTTTCTTGGGAACCTAGTGAATGACTCCTGGAAGGGCTGTTTCAGGGCTCCCATGACAAGCAGTGGTGCTACTTCCGGGGTCTGCCCTTATCTTGGAAGCTACATCAGGGGTCTGCCTAACAAAAGTGTCCATCTCAGGGGCCTCTGACTAGTGGAGGGGCAATCTCAGGACTTTATGTCCAAGGTCATACATTTTTTCCATACAGGGCCAGATAGTAAACGTTTTAGGCTTTGCACGCCATGTGCAGGCTCTGTTGCAACTCTTCAGTTCTGCTGACATAGCATGACAGCAGCCACAGATGATGTGGGAATGAATGAACATAGCTGTGAGCCAATAAAACTTTATTTACAAAAATAGGTGTCGGGCCTGATTTGCCCAGCAGGCTAGACTTTGCTGTGTGTGAACCAGGGGGAGGTGCTGTGTGGGGGTCTTAGGTTTCCCTGACCCTCTCCCTGTCCCCCCCTCCTCCCACCAGGATCTTGCGCATCCAGAAAGAGGCGCCCACGCTGCAGCGAAAGGAGCCCCCACCTGCGGTTCTGGAGGCCGACCTGACAGAGGGCGACCTGGCCAACTCCCACCTGCCCTCCGAGGTCCTCTACATGCTCAAGAATGTCCGGTCAGTGTCAGGGGTGCGGGTGGGGGTCCACAGAGCTGGAGTCCCCCCTGACCTCCTGCATCCCCCCCCCCCCCCACTGCCCATCCACCAGGGTTCTGGGCCACTTTGAAAAGCCGCTCTTCCTGGAGCTCTGCCGCCACATGGTCTTCCAGCGACTCAGCCAGGGCGACTATGTTTTCCGGCCGGGGCAGCCGGATGCCAGCATCTATGTGGTGCAGGACGGGCTGCTGGAACTCTGCCTGCCAGGGCCCGTGAGTGGACAGCTCCAGGGGTCACCATGGGGAGATGGGCAGCAGGGATGGTCAGCAGGACAGCCGTCCCTGGGGACAGCCCTGCTGTTGCGCGGTAGGACTGGGGGCCTTTGGGGGTGGGTAGAGAGGAGTCAGGGGAATGGATGACCTGGGGCATTTGGGGTGGTCTACACGGTTGCTCAGTGGTCACAGTTAGTGAAGGACGGGATGTGGCTGCTGGTCGGGAGGTTTGGTGACACAGGGATGGGAGAGCATCAGTGATCATTAGAGTGGGTAAGGCTGAGCACCAGTGACATGGTCGGAGGGTAGAAGGGCAGTCACCAGGGCTAGCCCAGCCCTGGTCAGTGGTCCCTTGTGTCTCAGGACGGGAAGGAGTGTGTAGTGAAGGAAGTGGTCCCCGGGGACAGTGTCAACAGCCTCCTGAGCATCCTGGATGTCATCACCGTGAGTGACCAACCTGTGAGCCCGGGGGTGGGGGGACTGGGGAATGGGGACCCCACCCAGTAGACTGAATTGGGGACAGACCCCAGGGCCACAATCTCTGATTCATCCCTGATGCTGCCAGTGGTCTCCAACTGGGGCGAAGGATTAGGGGAGTGGTGAGGGGACTTGCAGTCCTGCCCTTATTTCTCCTGATGCCCCCACCCCTCCCCCAGGGTCACCAGCATCCCCAGCGGACGGTGTCTGCGCGGGCGGCCCGTGATTCCACGGTGCTGCGGCTGCCGGTAGAGGCCTTCTCTGCAGTCTTCACCAAGTACCCAGAGAGCTTGGTGCGGGTTGTGCAGGTCAGTGGGCCTTCCACCGCCCTCCACGACGCAGGGGCCCCGCCCTCGCCCCCACCCATTGCAGGCAGCAGTGGGCTGGGTCCCAGCAGCTGTGCTTATCAGCCCTGAGCAGCCAGACCTCAGCTGCCCCACTCGCTCCATTCACTGCCTCTGCGCATTAACCCAAGTTGGGGGCTTCTCCTGGCCACGCCCCTTCCTTTGCTCCACCCATCTTATGGTCCCACCCCATCTCGTGGCTCCACCCTGTCTGATGGCCCCGCCCCATCTTGTGGCTCCACCCCATCCTATGGCCCCACCCCATCCCATGGCCACGCCCCTTGTACCCCACAGATCATCATGGTGCGTTTGCAGCGAGTCACCTTCCTGGCGCTTCACAACTACCTGGGTCTCACCAATGAGCTCTTCAGCCATGTGAGTTGGGGCCGAGGACAGGAGCTGGGGAGGACAAGATGGGACTCCGGGGACATGCCACAAGCTGCTGTCTGCCCCCCAGGAGATCCAGCCCCTGCGCCTGTTCCCCAGCCCCGGCCTCCCAACCCGCACCAGCCCTGTGCGGGGCTCCAAGCGGGTGGTCGGCACCTCAGCTTCAGAGGAACCGAGGGAGACCCCCGGTCGGCCGCCTGACCCCACCGGGGCCCCACTGCCTGGACCAACAGGTACTCGAAGTGACCCCTGCCTGGCCCCCCCATGCCAGCCCAGCCCAATCTCCAAAGAAGCCCTGCTTCAGTCCGCTGATCTCTTTCTTAGTTCCGCAGAGACTCAGCCTGGCCCCTGCCCAGCCCCTCAGGGACCCCACAGCTGGGTACCCAGGCCTGACTCCTGTCTGGTCCCTGGGAATCCCTGGCCTTAGCCCCAAGAACCCATTGCAATAGCTTTTGCTAGTCCCCTGGTCCCCCAGACCCTCCTTAGCTCCTCACACGCACATCCTAGCTCTAGACCTGGCAGTCCTGAGGGACAGGAGCCTGAACGAGCGTCTCCCCCAGGCGACCCTGTGAAGCCCACGTCCCTGGAAGCCACCTCGGCCCCTCTGCTGAGCCGCTGCATCTCCATGCCAGTGGACATCTCAGGTTTGGAGCTCTGGGTCTGAAGGGAGGGCCCTCAAGCTTCTGAGTTTTAATCCAGGAGCTGCTGCCTGCCTGTCTTCATTTTTCTTATCTGCAAGACGGGAATACTGCCAGTACTTCTTGGGTCCTTTCCTGTGGGTGTGCGTTGAGATGCTGCTCTCCCACTTGTGTTGAGAAGAATTCAGAGGGAGAGTGCAGGCATCGATTAGTGGCCTCTGGCACTTAGGTAGCAGCTGGTCTCAGACTGCAGCTTGCGGGTCACTGTCATCTTTACTGCTTTTGTTGCCCCTTCCCACCTGCAGGCTTGCAGGGCGGGCCCCGCTCTGACTTTGACATGGCGTATGAGCGTGGCCGCATCTCAGTGTCGCTGCAAGAAGAGGCCTCCGGGGGCCCCCAGGCAGCCCCTGCCCGGGTAAGGCCGCGGTCCCCTCCCGAGACAAGACGCCGGCCTGGATCTGGCCTGGCCAGGGGTGGGGGGCCTGCGCAGGGTGGCCGGCAGCGGGAACTCACGGGCCGCCCGGTGCAGACGCCCACGCAGGAGCCCCGGGAGCAGCCGGCGGGCGCCTGCGAGTACAGCTACTGCGAGGACGAGTCGGCCACCGGGGGCTGCCTCTTCGGGCCCTACCAGGGCCGCCAGACCAGCAGCATCTTCGAGGCGGCCAAGCGGGAGCTGGCCAAGCTGATGAGGATCGAGGTGGGCGGCTGGCGGCAGGGGCTGGGGGACAGGGTGGGGCGGGGAGGCCCCGCCCGCGACTCAGGCCCCCATCCCCCACCCTCCGCAGGACCCCTCCCTCCTGAACAGCCGAGTCTTGCTGCACCACGCCAAAGCCGGCACCATCATTGCCCGCCAGGGGGACCAGGTGAGGCTGACCCCTGACCTCTAACTATACAACTCGAGATCTCGCTCTCTCTCTGACCTCTGACACCTTCCCCCATATGCATAGACCTCTGGCCCTATGATTTCCAGCCTCCAACCCTTGATCCTAAAACTCTCTCCCTCCTGCCCCCACCCCATGTCCTCTGGCCCTATCAACCCTCCCCTTCAACCCCCAAACCTTTTACCCCAGGACTCCAGGGCCCCAACTCCTAGATCTCTCCTGCTTGCCCTGGCTCTTCCTGTGACCTCTGTTTTCTGCCCTTCCGACCCTAGTACCCTGCCATTGTATCTGCTTCTAATCCTGGCCCCCGTTGGGACAGGGGCTCAATACATGGGTACAAATTGGCATCCGGCCCCAGAGGCCATGAAGTGTATTCCACCAACTCCTCCATCGTCCCTATGGGGAAACTGAGGCCCACTGAGGGTTAGCAACCCAGCCACCAGCTCAAGGTCAGGAAGCATGGATGGGAGAGTGGGGGTGGGGGTGGTGTTGAAACCCAAACTCTGCCCTGACTCCCCATGTGACCTTAGGTGAATAATCTAGAAAGTTCTCAGCTTCCTCATCTGTGGAATGGGTGTGATAAGAGGAAGGTCTCAGTTTGGAGCTGTGTGAGGTTGCAAGATGATAGGCTCCAGGGGAGGAAGTTTAGCAGCAGCTCGTGGTGGTGGGGACGTGGGGTGACGACTGGAGCCAGTGATGTTGGCCCTGAGACCCCAGCACCGCCCCAGGCTCAGGGGAGAGAAGCCAGGGCTGGGGGTGGGGTAGGAGGTGTGACTCACCTGTTGCTGTCACTTGATCCTGCCATCCTGCTGTCCCCTCGACCTCCTCATGGCAGGGGTGGGCTCCTTTCTGGAGAGGAAGTTGAGTGAGGCTTTCGCCTGCTGTTCTTAGAACTCGAGGGACAGGCCGAGGAAGTGTGGTCACACTGTGGCTTCTGTAGGGGGTCCCCTGGGCCCTGCTTATCGGAGAGCTTCAGCCAGGCTCAACCCAGCCCTGGGCTGCCAATGGACCAGGCTGGCCTGCAGCCTCTCGAACCTTCTCGGGGTCAACAGGACTTTGTTAGGGACAGTTGCCCTACTGTGCCTCTCTGTGAAACTTTATACCCATGGCTCTCAACTGGGGGTGATTTTGCAATACCCCCCCAGGGGACATTCGGCAATGCTGAGACATTTTTAATCGTCACAACTTTGGAGGATGCCACTGGCATTTAGTTGATAGAGGCCTAGGATGCCCAGTATTACAGGGCAGCATGACAGAATCATCTAGTCCAAATTGTCAGTAGTGCCAAGGTTAAGAAATTATGCTTTACACAAACATTTCCCCAAGTATGTTTCACGGAACAGCTGCATTATAAACAAGCGATCTGTGGTCAAGCAGGTTTGGGAGATGCTGATTTAGCCCTCTGTGGGAGCTCCCAGGAAATATCGTTGGTATATTCAAGGCTCTGAGAAGTCCTGCAGTAAAGAAACATGCTTTCTGGGCTGGGTGCAGTGGCTCACGCCGGTAGTCCCAGCTACTCAGGAGGCTGAGGCAGGAGGATCACTTGAGCCCAGGAGTTCAAGACCAGCCAGGGCAACGTAGTGAGAACCTGTCTCTAAAAAAAAGAAAAGGAAACGTGCTTCCTAATCTGATGACAAGTGCCAGCCTAATAATAGTCGTTCCCAGGCCCCGTGCATGTCCCAAACACAGTCTGGAAATTCTGTCTCAGAAGGTTCCAGCATGTGTGCAGGTATGTCTGTCTCCTGGAGCTGTGCCCCTGCCAGGGGTCCCTGCAGTGTTTTGGTGGGTGGAGCTTTGGCAGATGCCGGACAGGTTGGTGTAGTGACGGAGAGGGAATCGCTCCGTCTGTGAGCAGTTTCAGTTCCTTACAAAGTGGTGGCAGAGGAAGGTGGGTGGCTGGTCGTGCTAACTAGAGAGGTCTGCCCTGTCCCAGACCCTGTGCTGCCTGCCGGACAAAAGCCAAGAAGAACCCTTAGTGGTCTCTGCCCTTGGGAAGCCTACCGTGTCCTGACAGGCACGACTCAAAGGACTTTGAAAATCCTTGTAAAATCATAAGTGCTTCGTGCTACGAAGGGGTTGCTCTTAGCACTACAGTGTCTGGCTTAGACAGGGTGGCATCTCTAAGGACATGACCTCAGCTCAGGAGGAAGTATTGGGATGGCAATGAACTGGGTGCAGACAGGAGGAAAGGGCATCACAGGCAGAGGGAACAGCTTGTGCAAATGTCCTGTGGCAACAAGAAACATCATGTTGATTTCTAAGAAACAAAAGGAAGTCAGTGGGCCTTGAGTGGAATAATTTTTTGGGGGGGCAGGGGTGGGTAATAGTTTTATTAAGATATAATTTATGTACTGTACAATTCACCTACTTAAAGTGTACAATTCAGTGGTTTTTAGTATATTCACAGTTATGCAACCATCACCAGAATCGATTTTAGAACATTTCCATCACCTTGAAAAGAGACCCCATCCCCATTAGCAGTCACTCCCCATCCTCCTCCCCCAGCCCCTAGCAACCACTAATCCACTTTCTGTCTGCAGGGATTGGCTAATTCTGAACATTTCATATAAATAGAACCATACAATATGTGGCCTTCTTTGTCTGGCTTCTTTCACTGAGTATGATGTCAAAGTTCCTTTATGGCTAAATAATATTCCACCGTAAGGATAGAACACATTTATTCATGTCTCGGTGGATATTTAAGTTTTTTCCACCTTTTGGCTGTTGTGAATTATGCTGTTGTGAACATTTATGTACAAGTTTCTCTATGGATGCATGTTTTTATTTCCCTTGGGTACAGACCTAGAAGTGGATTTGCTGGGTATAGGGCAACTCTATTTTTAACTTTTTTTTTTTTGAGACAGAGTCTCACTTTGTTGACCAGGCTAGAGTGAGTGCCATGGCGTCAGCCTAGCTCACAGCAACCTCAAACTCCTGGGCTCAGGAGATCCTCCTGTCTCAGCCTCCCGAGTAGCTGGGACTACAGGCATGCGCCACCATGCCCAGCTAATTTTTTGTATATATATTTTTAGTTGTCCAATTAATTTCTTTCTATTTTTAGTAGAGACAGGGTCTTGCTCAGGCTGGTTTTGAACTCCTGACCTCGAGCAATCTGCCCGCCTCGGCCTCCCGGAGTGCTAGGATTACAAGTGTGAGCCACTGCGCCCGGCCTTATTTTTAACTTTTTTTTTATTCTTTGAGACAGAGTCTCGCTTGTTGCCCAGGCTATAGTGAGTGCCGTGGCGTCAGCCTAGCTCACAGCAACCTCAAACTCCTGGGCTCAAGTAATCCTTCTGCCTCAGCCTCCCGAGTAGCTGGGACTACAGGCATGTGCCACCATGCCCGGCTAATTTTTATATATATATATTAGTTGGCCAATTAATTTCTTTCTATTTATAGTAGAGACAGGGTCTCACTCTTGCTCAGGCTGGTTTCGAACTCCTGACCTCGAGCAATCTGCCTGCCTCGGCCTCCCAGAGTGCTAGGATTACAGGCGTGAGCCACCGCGCCCGGCCCATTTTTAACTTTTTGAGGACTGTTTCTTTTGCCAGTTTTCCCAACAGCAGTGTATAAGGATTCATTTCTCCACTCCCTAACACTGATTCTAGCCATCTTAGAGGTGGCATCTCATTGTGGTTTTGATTTGTATCTGCCTAATGATGCCATGACTTTGAGCATCTTTTCGTGTGCTTATTGGCCATTTGTACATCTTCTTTCGTGAAGTTTCCATTCGGATCTTTTGCCCATTATTAATTATTTTAATTTATTCTCTTTTTAGAGACAGGATCTCACTATATTGTCCAGGCTGGAGTGCAGTGGCCGTTCTCAGGCGAGAGCAAAGCACACTGCAGCCTGGAATTCTGGGCTCAGGTGATCCTCCTGCCTCAGCCTCCTGAGTAGCTGGGACTACAGGCGCTCATCAACATGCCTGGCTAATTTTTCTCTTTTTTGTAGAGACAAGTCTTGCTCTTGCTCAGGCTGGTCTCGAACTCCTGGCCCTAAGCAGTCCTCCCACCTTGGCCACCCAAAGTGCTAGGATTACAGGCGTGAGACACTGCACCTGGCCAACTTGTAGGAATTCTTATATATTCTTTTTTTTTTTTTTTTAAATATCAGGTAGGTGATGTGCCAACATCATAACCAGGTTTGAGTGAGGCTCATTTCACATGTCCCTGTAAAAATCTGATCTTTGCACTGATGAACTACAAAAGGCTCTTTATATATTATTGAAGTACAAAAGTTCTTAAGCTTGATGAAGTCTAATTTTTCTGTTTTTCAATTTTGTTGCTTGGGCTTCTGGTGGCTTATCTAAGAATCCAGTGCCAAATTCAAGGTCACGAAGATTTACCCTTATGTTTTCTTCTAAGAGGCTTACAGTTTTAGCTCTCACATTTATGTCTTTGATCCATTTTGATATGGTGTGAAGGTCAGAATACAACTTCTGTCTTTTCTGTGTGGCTGTCCAGTTGCCCAGCACAAGCAAAGGATCTTAGCTCAGCCAGGCCCTTAGGGAGCCAGTTTTTGCAGCTTCTTGAGGCTGTGTTGAAAAGATTTCACGGGCTTGAATCTGGACTCAGAGTTTGGTGATCCATTAGTCATGTCTGCCATGCGTGCTGACTAGGCGTAAATAAGTTGTCAGTTGGTATCCATAGGACATTAGTTCTAGGACCTCTCAAAAATACCCAAATCTAGGCCGGGCGCTGTGGCTCACGCCTGTAATCCTAGCTCTTGGGAGGCCGAGGCGGGCGGATTGCTCAAGGTCAGGAGTTCAAAACCAGCCTGAGCAAGAGCGAGACCCCGTCTCTACTATAAATAGAAAGAAATTAATTGGCCAACTGATATATATATAAAAAATTAGCCGGGCATGGTGGCGCATGCCTGTAGTCCCAGCTACTCGGGAAGCTGAGGCAGGAGGATCGCTTGAGCCCAGGAGTTGAGGTGCTGTGAGCTATAGGCTGACGCCATGGCACTCACTCTAGCCTGGGCAACAAAGTGAGACTCTGTCTCAAAAAAAAAAAAAAAAATACCCAAATCTGTAGATGCTCAAATGCCTGATATAAAATGGCATAGTATTTACATATAAATGGCGTAGTATTTACATATGCACATCCTCCCATATACTTGAAATCATTTCTAGACTACTTATAATACCTAATACTATGTAAATGTTACATAAATAGTCATTATACTGTATTGTTTAGGGAATAATGCCCAAAACGGTCTGTACATATTCTGTACAGATGCAGTTTTTTTCCTGAATATTTTCAATCCTTCGATCCAAGGTTGGTTGAGTCTATGGATGGATATATATATGTATATAATGCATATGTAAAATCTGCTTTTATCCAAAGTCTTTATTCCCTCCTTCAACTTTGTTTTTCTTAACTGTTTCTTCTTTAAGCTTTCCCATGGGGGATATTGTCCTGAGCTGGGGTGGTGGGGGTGCTGTCGCTGGCTCTGTCCTCACAGCCTCTGGCCTTACAGGACGTGAGCCTGCACTTCGTGCTCTGGGGCTGCCTGCACGTGTACCAGCGCATGATCGACAAGGCGGAGGACGTGTGCCTGTTCGTGGCGCAGCCCGGGGAGTTGGTGGGGCAGCTGGCGGTGCTCACTGGGGAACCCCTCATCTTCACGCTGCGCGCCCAGCGCGACTGCACCTTCCTGCGGATCTCCAAATCTGACTTCTATGAGTACGACTGGGCCTGGGGCTGGGATGGAGGTGGCCCTCGGATGACCCCAACGCAACTCCACTCAGCCGTGGGAGGAGGCCAGGACCAGATCGTTTGACCCCATTCCTAGAGGGGCAGACGGGAACCCCCAGATCTGGCCTCCCAGCACCCTTGTAGGGCAATTTTGAGCCCTTCCTGTTTCACACCCAAGTCTTCACCCACTTTCTCCACTCCTTCTGGGGTGTTCCAGGGTACCCCTGGCCCATGCACCCTATTTCTTTGCCCTCAGGATCATGCGCGCACAGCCTAGTGTGGTGCTGAGCGCGGCACACACGGTGGCTGCCAGGATGTCGCCCTTCGTCCGCCAAATGGACTTCGCCATCGACTGGACCGCGGTGGAGGCGGGACGTGCGCTATACAGGTGCAGCCCCCGCTTCCGCCTCGCAGCTCAGGCCCACCCAGGACAAGGCCCTGACTTTGCTTGACCCCCCACCCTACCCCAGGCAGGGCGACCGCTCCGACTGCACCTACATCGTGCTCAATGGGCGGCTGCGCAGTGTCATCCAGCGCGGCAGCGGCAAGAAGGAGCTGGTGGGCGAGTACGGCCGCGGTGACCTCATCGGAGTGGTGAGCGCCCGCCCACTGACCTGACTTACTGGTCCAGCGCCGCCAGCATGCACATCCCGAGTAATCTGATGGAGTGACGGACACAGCTCCCGAACTCTGACCTCAGCCAGTCCATTTCCCCCAGGCCTCCCCGCGAGGTGGGGACCGAAGTGGGGGGAGGGCAACCTCTGGGGGTGATGAGTCTGATCCCACACCGCCCCCGGACCTCTTTTCATCAGAAAAGGGGATCCCAGCCCGTCGCGGATCACTGTCCTCTCTGGAGTCGTACCAGATAGCGAGTGAGGCTTGGATCCCTCCACCTCCATCTCTGGGGACTCCCTGGGTGGGGCAGTCCTGCCCCAGGCCCCTGCACCCACGGTCGGGCTCCCGCTACTCTCCCCGGGCCCTCCCGGCGCAGGCAGCCCCGGTCATACACACGGGCCCTACAGGTGGAGGCGCTGACCCGGCAGCCGCGAGCCACGACGGTGCACGCGGTGCGCGACACCGAGCTGGCTAAGCTCCCCGAAGGCACCTTGGGCCACATCAAGCGTCGGTACCCGCAGGTGCGGCCTGGTGTGGGCGGGGCGGAGGGGAGCGGGGGCGGGACCGCAGAGGGGGTGGGGTTTAATAAACGGGGAGGGACTTATGGGGGGGCGGAGCCGCTCGAATCGGGGTGGGGCTCTTGGGGCTGGAGCCCAGGTAGTGGGGCCCCAGGAGCCTGGGTAGAGAGGGAAAGGTGGGACCCTCACAGTCGCTCCGTCGGTCTCACTGGATTGCCGCCTCCAACGTCCCCAGGTCGTGACCCGCCTCATCCACCTGCTGAGCCAGAAAATTTTAGGGAATTTGCAGCAGCTGCAAGGACCCTTCCCAGGTGAGAGCCGGTCAGCCCGGGGCATGCTGGGGGCTGTAGTCCAGCGCCCAGAGCATGCTGGGAGGGGAAGCCCCATACACGAAGGCATGCTGGGAAATGGAGTTCGGCGTGTAAACTATGCAGGGCGGGTTTGAAGCCGGAAGTGGGGGGGAAGACCGTGGTCCAGTGCATGCTGGGAGATGGAGTTCGGGTTCCAGTGCATGCTGGGAGATGGAGTCCTAGACGCCGGCGTGCTTGTTTTTTTTTTTTTTTTTTGAGACAGAGTCTCGCTTTGTTGCCCAGGCTAGAGTGAGTGCCGTGGCATCAGCCTAGCTCACAGCAACCTCAAACTCCTGGGCTCGAGTGATCCTTCTGCCTCAGCCTCCCAAGTAGCTGGGACTACAGGCATGTGCCACCATGCCCGGCTAATTTTTTATATATATATCAGTTGGCCAATTAATTTCTATTTATAGTAGAGACGGGGTCTCGCTCTTGCTCAGGCTGGTTTTGAACTCCTGACCTCGAGCAATCCGCCCGCCTCGGCCTCCCAAGAGCTAGGATTACAGGCGTGAGCCACAGCGCCCGGCCTGGCGTGCTTGTTAATGGACTCAGTTGTGCTGGGGGGCGGTGCCTTAAGTGGGGGTTTGGCCCGGGTGTCAGTGCTTGCTGGGGGAGTCCTCGTCCTGAACGTTTCGGGAAAGGGAGTCCCAGATCAGAATGTGAGGGCAAATGGAATCCATGGAGGGCGTTTAGGGCGCCGGGCACGTCGGGAATGGGCTTCTGAAGTTGCCCACAGGCTGGGAGGCGTGGTGCCCTCCCAGCTTGTGGTTTCTGTGAGCTGGGACAGACCGGGCAGTGCAGTGGGGCTCCAGGGGGGGCTGAAATGCGGGCCTGGGCCTCTACCCTGTGGCGACCCCGTTCTGGGCCAGCCCGGCAACCTTGGTCCTCCTGTTTTCCCCAGGGGCTTCTGCCCTGTTGGCCCTGACACCTGGATTCCCAGGGTCCAGGCGGGCAGTGGGGGCAGGGAAGACATCAGTTTGAAGACACAGGGAAACAGCACAACGTCAAGCTTCGCTCAGTGTCCGTGTCGTAGCCAGTGAGGTTTATCTGAGGCACGCTTATTGCTAACTCCATACTTTCCCCCGTACTCTGCCTCATATGACGATTGATGTATAGTCAGCATTGGCAATTTTTGACAATCTCTATGGAGACAAAAAAAAAAAAATTACAAAATAAAAAGTCTCTATGGAGACAAAAAGAAATTAAAAAATAAAAAGCACAAGGTCAGAAGCCGATAAGTACTGTGAAGAAAATAAAAGAGGGTCATTGATAGAGCGTGACTAGCAGAGGGAGAGGCTTTTCTGAAGACAATGAGCTGAAACTTGACAAATGAGATGGGGCCACACTTGGAAGGGAATTACAAAGGCGTTGCACTCGGGGTGGGGTGGTTTTGAAGCACTGGGAGGGGGAAGTGATTGAGGGGGAGAAATAGGGGAGGGGCAAGCCACACAGGGGCTGGGGCCACGAAAGGCCCTGGAGCTTATGGGAGGGGGATCAGATCAGCCAAGATCAGCAGGAAGTCCAGGCAAGAGATTGGGGTTGACAGCTTGGTCTAGGCCAGGGGTCCTCAAACTTTTTAAACAGGGGGCCAGTTCACTGTCCCTCAGACCGTTGGAGGGCCAGACTATAGTTAAAAAAAAAAAATCTATGAACAAATTCCTGTGCACATTGCACATAATCTTATTTTGAAGTAAAAAAACAAACAGGCAAAAACACCCACATGTGGCCCGAGGGCGGTAGTTTGAGGACACCTGGTCTAGGCTATCAGCAGAGAAGCTAGGAAGCACTGAGTCAAGCATGTATTTACGTCCACCTAGTTTTATGTTTGGACCCCTTTCTTGGAAAGAGGAACCAAGGTCAGAATGGGGCAGGCGCACCAGTTGGTCGGTCTGTGTAAGCACAGTGAATCTGAGTGGGTGTAGAATTGTGTGATGGGTCCCACGGAGGAGATTGGGGCCCAAAGTGGACCACCAGATTTTAACAGGAGAGGGGACGGTGGGTGGGGCTGTATGTGCAGGACTAGGCTGTGGCCTTCAGTATGACAGCGTGACGTCTTGGGGCAGCGAGGGGCTGCGATCGGGGGGAAGAGGGCAGGGAGTTCAGAGGGGGTGTTCACCTCTCTGGACACAGGGTTGCACAGCAAATCTCCTCCATTGGGGTCTCAGCAGGCTCTGGGCTGGGTGTCCCACCACACTCGGAACTCACCAACCCCGCCAGCAACCTGGCAACGGTGGCAGTCCTGCCTGTGTGTGCCGAGGTGCCCATGATGGCCTTCACCCTGGAGCTGCAGCATGCTTTGCAAGCCATCGGTCAGTGGGGGGAAGGGGCGTGGGTGAGGGCTGGCCAGGACGTTGGTCAGTGAGTGGATGTGGCTGGGTGGGTCAGTGGGGAGGGGTAGACCAGGGCCACAGGCCACAGGAGTGGGGTGATGGGTATTATCTTCTGGGAGGGGCCCCCAGCCCTGCCAACCGTGTTCCCAACCTCCGTTCCTCACCTATGCCTAGGTCCCACGCTCCTCCTCAACAGTGACATCATCCGGGCACGCCTGGGGGCCTCCGCGCTGGATAGGTGTGTGTTGGCGTCCTGAGGGGAGCTGGGGGTGTAAGGAGCAGGCTTGGAGCCCCAGATTCTTTCAGATCCGGGTTCAAGTTCTAGGTTTCAAGCCAAGGAACGTTTGTCCCACTCTTAGGTCAAGGGAGGGGGGTGAATCTGCCCCCCTAGGGCGCAGACTTCCATTGTGGGGGCCTGAGTGTCTCACCTCCTCCCAGCAATGGAACTGTGTGGTCTCTGGGGACACAGGGCTTCCTGTCGCCCCAGGATGACACTTTCCTGTCCCACCCCAGCATCCAAGAGTTCCGGCTATCAGGGTGGCTGGCCCAGCAGGAGGACGCGCACCGCATCGTGCTGTACCAGACGGACGCATCCCTGACGCCCTGGACCGTGCGCTGCCTGCGCCAGGCCGACTGCATCCTCATCGTGGGCCTGGGTGACCAGGAGCCCACTCTCGGCCAGGTCTGGAGGCCCTGCGCGGTGACACCATCCCCAGGATCCTGTCCCTTGCCCTCCCATGCGTACGCCAGGCCATGTGCACCTCCACCGTGGGCGTAGGCGACAAGGGACCTAAGCTTGGCCAGGTAGCGGTGGGGAGACCGGTGACCTCCGTCCGCTCTGCGTCTTCCGCAGCTGGAGCAGATGCTGGAAAACACGGCCGTGCGCGCCCTCAAGCAGCTGGTCCTGCTGCACCGCGAGGAGGGCGCGGGCCCCACGCGCACCGTGGAGTGGCTCAACATGCGCAGCTGGTGCTCCGGCCACCTGCATCTGCGCTGCCCGCGCCGCCTCTTCTCGCGCCGCAGCCCGGCCAAGCTGGTGAGGGGCGGGCTTGGAGAGGGGCCTGGGAAGGACCGGCCCCCACTTCTGGGGCTGTGGCTGCCAGGGGCGTGGCGTGCTGGGGAGTGGGGCAGGGCCTGGAAAACTTGGGAGTTCCACTAGGCCCCGCCCCATGCTCTCATCCTCTGGGGTCGTGACCCTCTTCCCCTCCATCCCAGCACGAGCTCTACGAGAAGGTCTTCTCCAGGCGCGCCGACCGGCACAGCGACTTCTCCCGCTTGGCGAGGGTGCTCACCGGGAACACTATCGCCCTGGTGCTGGGCGGGGGCGGGGCCAGGTGAGGGGCGGGGCCAGCTCTGGCAGGGGCGGGGCTTGCTGGAGCGCAGAGGGTGTGCATCCTGTAGGGTGGGGCCTGGGTGTCCGAGGGGTGGAGCTTACTCTTTGAGAAAGATGCCCCCCATGGGGCGGGGCAATCTCTGGCAGGGGCGGGGCTTGCTGGAGGGAGGGGCGGGGCCTATGTGTCCAAGGGGTGGGGCTTACTCTCTGGGAAAGATGCTCTGGGCTGGGGCTGGCATGTCTCTTGGCTGCGTGGGCGATGGAGAAGGGGAGCTTGTGGAGGTGGGGTCGAGCAGATTCCTAGAGGAACACTGGGTCCCCTTTTCCCTGCAGGGGCTGCTCACATATCGGGGTGCTGAAGGCATTAGAGGAAGCGGGGGTCCCCGTGGACCTGGTGGGCGGCACGTCCATCGGCTCGTTCATCGGAGCCCTGTACGCAGAGGAGCGCAGCGCCAGCCGCACCAAGCAGCGGGCCCGGGAGTGGGCCAAGGTGTGTGTTGCGGGAGGGGTCGCGGCACCCCACGGGCACCCTGAAACCCGTGACTCCACCATCCCCTGGATCCAGGAGGCCTCTGGGCTCATGGTGATCCTTCCTGGCTTAATCTGTGGACCCTGCCTGCCTAGACCTTTAGGATATGCACTGGGCATCTTGGATGATGCTTGTGGGACCTCTTGGCTGGCAACCATAACCCCTGTATCCCCAGCTAGAGAAACTAGGGCCCTTGGTGACCCTCTGGCAGTGGCCCTGGGTGACCACATCACCATCCCTAAATGCTCCTTGCCCGCCCCCTCTTGGTGACCCCCCTGTGACCCCACATGACTCCTTGACCCCAGCTGGCCCCTCGTCCCTAGAGAATGACTTCGGTGCTGGAGCCCGTGTTGGATCTCACGTACCCTGTCACCTCCATGTTCACCGGCTCGGCCTTTAACCGCAGCATCCACCGCGTCTTCCAGGACAAGCAGATTGAGGTGCGCCCACCCCCCTGCCCCCAGCCCTGCCCACAGGCGCCCACGCCCCTCCCCAACCTTGGTCCTTGTCCCCTTAGGACCTGTGGCTGCCATATTTCAACGTGACCACGGACATCACGGCCTCGGCCATGCGTGTCCACAAAGATGGTGGGTGTCCCCACCCAGCTCTGTACCCAACCGCGGAGGCCGCGTGGGGAGTGGGGGGAAGCTTCGGGGAGGGCAGCTGAGCTGCTGGGACATTGTTAACACAAGTGACCGTCCACCTTGGCCCGATCGCCGACCACTAACCATCACCCACTAATGCCCCAGAGGCCCCAGGTATGTCTGTGCTCAGGGGTGGGGAGCCGGGAGTCTCGTCGGGGCCTCACCCCCTCACGCCGTCCCCACAGGCTGCGTGTGGCGTTATGTCCGGGCCAGCGCCTCCTACTGCCCCTATCTGCCCCCGCTCTGCGACCCCAAGGACGGGCACCTCCTGGTGGACGGGTGCTACGTTAACAACGTGCCAGGTCAGCGAGCCCACCGGGCTGGCCGGGCCTCCGAGCGTGTCTGAGTGTGTCTGTGCGTGTCTGTGTCTGTGTGTCCCACCGGGCAGGTTCCCTGTGGCGGTATGTGCGCGCCAGCATGACGCTCTCGGGCTACCTGCCCCCACTATGCGACCCCAAGGACGGGCACCTCCTCATGGACGGCGGCTACATCAACAACCTGCCAGGCAAGTGGCTGCCCACTCTGTCACACGCACCTGCGCAGACTGGCGCGCGCGGCACACGAGCAGGCAGGCGCAGGCAGGTGGGCGCGCGGGAGAGCACACGCTCAAGCCGCCCGTGCAGGGGCGCACGCGCACGTGCACGCACGCTCGCCTGCACCGTGTGTGTGTGCAGTCAAAAAGTATGGCCGCCTGCTCGCATGCTGTTAGACACAGTGGCTGCACACACAGGAGGGACAGGTACGAGGGACACACACTGAGGAACACGCAGATTGAACGGGACACTTCATGTACGCACACCAGGTACCCATGCACACGCGTTCTCTCGGCTGCTCAAGGGGTAGGTAGACGCATTCAGACACTTGCGTACAGACGAACACGTGTCTTGGTGACACAGGGCACCTGTCCACACACGCCAGCCTGTGCACACCCGGCCAGCACATCTCCTCAAACACGCAGGTGTGTGCACGTGCCAACAGGACGGGGCAGCCGCGTGGCCGAGTTAAGGCATGCCTTCTGCCTTTATGTGCACAGATGAGAGGCAGGCAGGTACACAACTTAAAATGTCACGCCCCAGAAGCGTTCACACTCATGTGGACGCGTACACCAGCTGCACACGTGCTCACGGTGCTATGGACCAGGGCTCGGCAAGCTGTGTCTTGGACACGCGAGGAAATGTGTAACGGGCGTTGACCTAGGTATGCGTGGTCTGGAAGGAACACAGACAGGCTCAGACGTGTCTGCAGAGGCGCAGGCAAACCCAGAGATACGCATGATCGCAGACACATGGCCTCCCCCGGGGTCTGGGACAGAAGGAACTCAGGCAGGCACACACAGACACGGGCACGTGGGCATGTGGACTCAGAGACGCCAGCGAGCTCTTGAGGGCTACAGGTGCCAAGGTTGATGGAGATTCGGGCATCTTCTGGGGCTGGGCCTGGCTACAGGACACTGTCTTGTAGGGGACCCTCCCAGAGGCACTGCCCTCATCACTGGGCCATCATCTTGCTCCCCCTTGCCTTCATTTGCATTTATTTCCATACTATTTGCATGACAGCCTGTCATTTGCATGTGTGGTTGTTTTTTTTTTTTTTTTTTGCGTGGTCATTTGCATGATGGTGTTTGTGGGACTGGGTTGAACGTCCCCATCCCCGGCCCTGTCGGGGGAGCAGCCCGCTGACCCCCCCGGCTCCACAGCGGACATCGCGCGCAGCATGGGCGCCAAGACGGTCCTTGCCATCGACGTGGGGAGCCAGGATGAGACGGACCTCAGCACCTACGGGGACAGCCTGTCTGGCTGGTGGCTGCTGTGGAAGAGGCTAAACCCCTGGGCAGACAAGGTGAAAGTTCCAGACATGGCCGAGATCCAGTCCCGTCTGGCCTACGTGTCCTGCGTGCGGCAGCTGGAGGTCGTCAAGTCCAGCTCCTACTGCGAGTACCTGCGCCCGCCCATCGACTGCTTCAAGACCATGGACTTCGGGAAGTTCGACCAGATCTATGTGAGCGGGTGGGAGCGGCTTGGTGCCCGCATGGTGGGCCTGCAGAGCTTTATGACCTAAAGCCTAGAGCAGCGTGAGGGGAAGGATTCTAGGGCTCCAACTGGAATCGGTGGGAAACAGATCTGTGATCAATTAGTGATGTCTACAGCAGGTGTGGCATAGGATGTGGCTGTGCGTGTGCTACTCATGAGCTAAGTTTATGGTTATGTGCCAGCTGCACTGCCTGAAGCACTGCGTAGTGATTTCTAATGCCATTTCTGCATCTGTGGGGATGAGAGCAGTGATCAATTAGCAATGTCTGCCACAGGTCTGGGAGAGGAATGTAGCGGTGTGTGTGTCTTGTGCCACTGACCCTGAAAAATGTGTCATAGCCCATGCCAACTGAAATTGTTCAGTAGCTGCTGCCCAGAAGCCCTGAGTCTGAGTGGAAAATGTCTGATGTTCCTTCTGGGGTTTCTAAGAGAGTGTGTCATGATGATTTAGTGATGTTTGCTGTGGGCATGGGATAGGTCAGTGTCCACAGATGTACTGCATCTTAGCAAAACTCTAAACAAGCTGGCACACCACCACCTTGTGTTGTTGGGTTCCCATCACCCTGCGTGGGGCTGAGTGGGAAAGAATGTGGAGATTGATTGGTAATGTCTGGCAGGGGCACAGACGGGGAAGTATGGGCAAGTGTACCATATATGTGTGGCCGACTCTAAAATAGATTTAACTTCAAACACCAGCCTCCCCCAGAGCGTCAGGCATTTGAGGGATGAGAGGAGGGGCAGACGGTGTGGGGACAAGCAGAGGGGGTTGCAGGCATGGCCCCCAGCCCCTCGCTTCCTGCAGGATGTGGGCTACCAGTATGGGAAGGCCGTGTTCGGAGGCTGGAGTCGGGGTGATGTCATTGAGAAAATGCTCACAGACCGGCGGTCTGCGGACCTTAACGAGAGCCGCCGTGCAGACGTAAGCCTGTGGTACTCCTGCACCGGGACCCTCCGACCCCAGAGATCCGGGATTCCAGCCCTCGCGGGGTCTCCCACAAACCTCAGCTGCCCCCACACATTCCTGGGTTTCACTGAGCCCCTCAGACCCCCACTGACGATCCTCTCTGAGCCCCCAAGATGCCACCAGGCCACCCCAGACACCCCAATACCCTGTGGATCCCCAGAGAGCCTCACCAGTGCCGCCCCGTAGGTACTTGCCTTCCCAAGCTCTGGCTTCACCGACTTGGCAGAGATCGTGTCCCGCATCGAGCCCCCCACAAGCTACGTCTCCGACGGCTGCGCTGACGGTGAGGGGGCCCCCAGGGACACCCCCAGGAGGGCGGGGCGTGGTTGGATGTGTGAGCCCAGCCCGGATCCCCCTAACCATGCCCTGCGCCCCGATTCCAGGGGAGGAGTCGGATTGTCTGACGGAGTACGAGGAGGACGCGGGGCCCGACTGCTCCAGGGACGAAGGGGGCTCCCCCGAGGGCGCGAGCCCCAGCACAGCCTCCGAGATGGTGAGAGCGGGCAGCCCGGGCCCCTCAAGGCTGTGTCTGAGACCTTGTCGGGCGGGTGCTGGCCGACGCGTGCGCAGTGACGCGCCCCGTGCCGGGTGACACGCGTGTGCGGCCTGTCTCCGCAGGAGGAGGAGAAGTCGGTTCTCCGGCACCGGCGCTGTCTGCCCCAGGAGCCTCCCAGCCCAGCCTCAGACACCTGAGGGCCTCGCCAGGGGGGTCCCCGCCCCCCGCCCCCGCACTGGGCTCGGGCGGGCCCGTGGGGGCGGCGCACTTGCCTCCTCCTGCTGCTACGCCTGCGGCCCCCTGGGTCCCCCGCGGCCCTCTGAGCCCAGGGACCACACACTGGACTGGCCTGCCCCAGGGAGGAGGGCAGCACCGCACTGATGACTCTTGACAGTCACCCCCCACCCAATAAACTGTCACCTCTCAGAAGTGTCCTCGTGCCATCTTTGGGTGGAGGCCCTACCTCCTGTGCTCGGCGTGGCTGGGGCTGGGGTCTGAAACGGCCTTGAGCGCGTCCCCGCCGCGGGAGTGCCATCCCGGGGTCCACGTGTAGTCCCACTCGGTGCTGGCTCCAGGCCACAAGGCCTCTGAACACCGCGTGCCACCCTCGGGGGTCCACACACGTGGTTCTGGGGCCCGTTGTGACAGCCTCATCTTCCCACGGCCTGTGCCCTTGGGGTAGTCCTACTAGGCGCAGACGCCCCACGTTGGCTCTGTGTTCCCACTGTGTGCACCACTGATTCTGGTTCCTAAGGGACAGGAACCCCCCAAGATACACACACACACATGTTCACTCACTCAAGAGGCTCTAGAACTTTCCCCCAGGCATTGCCCCTACTGTGTGCTCAGCAGAATCAGCCAGGCCACTCTCCCCACTTGCTGTTCTGGCTGTTGGCTCAGAGCTTAGACCGTGCAGCCAGCCCGCCTGGGGTGAGATCCCTGCCTGGCCTCTTGCAGGTGGCCATGAGCAAATTTCTTAACCTCTCTGAGCCTCAGTCACTTCTTCGTTCATCTGTGAAGTGGGGAATGATGACTGTGGGTCACCAAGTGTTACATTTATGGGACTGGCTGGGCCTGGGCCTCTGGAGGCTCCCAGTCAGTGCCCCCTACCACGTGCTGGGCCCAGAGTGCAGCAGCCATGGCCAAGGACCGTCTCGAGGGCAGAGGGGAGCCTTGGAAGGTTTTTTTTTTTTTTTAGTGACATGTATGTGTTTGAATTGTAAAATAAACATAACAAAATTTGCCACTTTAACCACTTTTAAGTGCACAGCTTAGTGGCATTAAGCACATTCACATTGCTGAGCAACCATCACCACCCTCCACCTCCAGAACTTTCCCATCTCCCCAAACTGAAACTCTGTCCCCATGAAACACTCACTCCCCAGCCCTGTCCCCAGCCCCTGGCACCCACCATCCTACTTTCTGTCTCCGTGGATCTGACAACTCTAGGGACCTCTTATGAGTGGAATCACACAGGATTTGTCCTTTTGTAACTGGCTATTTCACTGAGCACGATGTCCCCAAAGTCTATCCATGGTGTAGCCTGTGCCCGAACCGTTTTCCTTTTTATGGCTGAGTGATATTCCAGCGTGTGGATGGAGCACATTGTGCTGATCCTTTCAATCGTCAACGGAGACTTGGGTTGCCTCCGTCCACGTGTGGGTTATTGCGAATCACGCTGCTACCAACACTGGCACGCAAGTATCTCTTTGGGTCCCTACTTTCCATCCCTTTGGGCATGTGGCCAGGAGTGGAGTCGGTGGGCCGCATGGTAATTCTACGATGAATTCAGGAACCGCCAAACTCTTTTCCGCAGCAGCTGCCCCGTTTCACATCCGGTCCCCTGGGCCGTCAGCACCATAGACAGTGCTGGCGCTGTCCGAGGTGCTACCAAAGCCCCCTTCTCTGCCTCTCCCTCCCCTCCAGATCTCTGGGTTTGGGGAGGGCAAGAGCACATTAAGCTGAAAGTTCAGCTTAATGACGCCTGTTGGCTTCCACTCCACCCTCTCGCACAACTCCTTCATTCTGTTCCCCAAATTCTCCATTGGTTCCTGGCTTGAAGCCCTTGCAACAGGAGCTACTCTCTGTGGAGCTAGGTAAGTCTGGCCTCAAATGTCACCTCTTCAGACTGTCTGAAGCCACTGTGTAAAGTAGCTTTCCCATGCCCACCGCCTGTGCCCTTGCCTTTAAAGCACTTCAGCAAACCTGGGAACGGTGGCTCATGCCTGCAATCCCAGCACTCTGGGAGGCCGAGGCAGGAGGATCACTTGAGGGCAGGAATTTTCAACCAGCCTGGGACACATAGTGAGACACCTTTTCTACAAAAAATGGGGAAAAGTCAACCAGGCATGGTGTTCCACACCTATAGTCGTGGCTATTCAGGAGGCTGAGACAGGAGGATGGCTTGAGCCCTGGAGTTTGAGGCTGTAGTGAACTGTGATTATGCCACTGTACTCCAGCCTGGGCGACAGAGGGAGACCCTGTCTCAAAAAAAAACAAAAAAACCTACAAAAACCCACCACCAACAATAACAATAATTAATTTACAGAGAGATTGCCATACAGCTGTGCTGATGCATGCATATTCTCTCTTTGGATATTCATAGCGGCTTTATGGAGAAAGTAGTATTATTCCATTTAATAGAATAGAAAAGTGCAGCTCAGAAAGGGGGTCGAGGTACAAAGTTGTTAAGAGATGGAACCAGCACAAGCTTATCCACCACCCCCTTGTGCTATTTTCCCAGCAACCAGACTGGCTCAGGTTTCTACTCAAGGCTGCAGTCCTGGGGCAGCCCTGGACCCTCAGGAGGGACATCTGGCATGGATCTCGCAGGAACCCCCTGGTCACTAGAGCCCCTACTAAGGTGCTGCAGGTGCCTTCATTTACCCAGGCTCGTATCAACCTTCCCTGTCTTCTCTTGCTGCCCCTCGGCAGGCTGAGCTCCCTGGCACCTGCAGTTGGAATGAAGCCTGTGTGGGCTGAATTTTGCCCAAACACCAAATTCATTGAAGTTGAAGTTCTACCCCCAGCAACCTCAGAATCTGGCTGTGTTTGGAGACAAGGTCTTTAAAGAGGTCACTAAGTTAAAATGAGATCATTAGGGGTGATTCTATTCCAATAGAATTGTGTCCATATAGAAAGGGGGATTTTCTTTTCTTTTCTTTTCTTTTCTTTTCTTTTCTTTTCTTTTCTTTTCTTTTTTTTTTGAGATAAGATCTCACTTGGTTGCCCAGGCTGAAGTGCAGTGGCATCATCATAGCTCACTGCAGCCTCAAACTCCTGGGCTCATGTGATCCTCCCACCTCAGCCTCCTGAGTAGCTGGGACTACAGGTGCATACCAACATGTCTGGCCAATTTTTCTATTTTTTTTTTTAGAGATGGGGTCTGGCTATGTTGTCCAGGCTGGTCTCAAACACCTGGTCTCAAGTGATCCTCCCACTTTGGCCTCTGAAAGTGCTGGGATGACAGCCATGAGCCACAGTGCCCATCCAGGAAAGAGGTGAATGTAGACACAGAGACAGACACACAAAGAGGGAAGATGAGGTGAAGATGGGGGCAAGGGGGGTACACCATCTAGAAGCCCAGGAAGGACTGAAGCTATGGCAGAGACCTGGAACAGATTCTTCCTCACAGCCCTCCAAAGGAACCAACACCTCGACCTTGGACATCTAGCCCCCAGAACTGTGAGACAACACATTTTTGCTATTAAAGTCATTCAGTCTGAAGTGTTTTCTTATGCAAACTAATAGAGAGCCCTTGGCTGCATCCAGGTGCCACGATGTGGATGGATTGCTGTATCAGTCAGAATAAGTTAGATGCTGCTGCTATAACAAATGACCCCCAAGTCTTGGGTGCCGAAGCCAGCACAAACGTAATTTCCTGCTACATATCCATTGCAGGTCATCCGGGGATTTTAGCTCAGGCACCTTACTCTGCAACCCGGGTGATGAAGCAGCCATTCTCTGGAATGTTTCAGGCCACTCTAGCCAAGGAAAGAAATGTCTGGAGGGTCTCATACCTGCAATTAAATACTCTGGCCAGGAAATGATAACGTTTCTGCTTGCTGCTCATTGGCCAGAACAAGTCACATGGCCCTACCCAACCATAAGGGGGCAGGAAAGGCCATCCCTACCATGGGCATTGGAAATATTTGGTGAACGTCATTCATGACTAACAGAGTTGGAGTTGGGCCTCAACTGGAGGTTTTGGGGCTGTCCAGGCTACCTGTGCCTGATTCCGGTGAGGACCTGGGTTCAGGGTCGGGGGACTTGTCCTGCAGCCCACAGGAGATGGTACAGAGGTGTGGAGTCAGAGACTCATATGGGAAGTGACATTAAAACACTTCCCGGCCGGGTGCGGTGGCTCACGCCTGTAATCCTAGCACTCTGGGAGGCCGAGGCGGGCGGATTGCTCAAGGTCAGGAGTTCAAGACCAGCCTGAGCAACAGTGAGACCCCGTCTCTACTATAAATAGAAAGAAATTAATTGGCCAACTAATATATATATAGAAAAAATTAGCCGGCATGGTGGCGAATGCTTGTAGTCCCAGCTACTCGGGAGGCTGAGGAGGAGGATGGCTTGAGCCAGGAGTTTGAGGTTGCTGTGAGCTAGGCTGACGCCACGGCACTCACTCTAGCCTGGGCAACAAAAGGGAGACTTCTGTCTCTAAATAAATAAATAAATAAATAAAACACTTCCCATTTATAGAGTTGCCATATGACCCAGCAGTACCACGATTCGCCATAGACCCAAAGTGGAAACGACTCAAATACCCATCAGTGGGTGAATGGATAAACAAATGGTGGTATATCCATCCATTTGGTGGAATATTAGTTGACCATGAAAAAGGAAACACCAACACATTCTACAACATGGTGGCACCTTGCAAACACGATGCTCAGTGAAAGAAACCAGGCACAAAAGACCACATATCGTATGATTCCATTTCTATGAAATAGCTAGAATAGGCAAATCTAGAGATAGAAAGTAAATTAATGGTTGTTGGGGCTGAGGGCAGGGAGCGGGAGTGACTGCTAACGGGAATGGGGTTTCTTTTGGGGTGATGAATTTCTGGCTTGATCATGGTGATGGTTGCATAACTCTGTGAAAATACTAAAAACCACTAAATTGTGCACTTTCAGCGGGTGAGTTGTGGGGGCGTGAATAGATCGCAGACACGGCAGGGAACGTTTGGAGCAGAAAAACACGTGGTTAAATAAAAACGTGAAGCTGGGCTTGCACGGATGGACGGGCTCTGTCCCTTGCCAGCTAAAATGACCCGGCTTCACTTCTCCTAGACTCACATTTGTCACTTGGGTATTCTACCCAATTAATAGTCCACGACTCAAAGGGTTGCTTTGTGAATTAAATAAAACGAAACAGACACACACATCCTTCCAAACCGGCTTCTTATTTTCTGCCACCAG